ATGGATCTATTTAATTGTTAGTTATAAATGTTTGATAAACTGACTAGTATCAAGTAACACGACATGATTTAATATCTTTGTGAATTCTGATGTTTTGGTTCATGATGCCTAATAGCCTTGTATGTTCTTCTGACACAGTGTCATAACCAAGAATGTCACAATCCAATTTTACACCAACATGACAACTTCAGAGTCAATTAATATTTTATTGACTTCACATAAATATTCTCATGAAAGAACGTGTTTCTTTTACAGGGTCATGATACAACATATGCAGCACTTTCATGGGCCATCCAGCTACTGGGTGAACACACTGACGTGCAGGTACTGACAATTAATTTAGAGACATGCAGTGCACAGTCTTCATTACTCCCACACTCATGGCTCCACTAACCTGTTTGAGCTTTAATTGGGTACAGTGGTATAAACCAAAATAGAGTTAATTATAGTATATACATGAATAGTTTATGCAGTAACTTTGATGTTTAAGTAAAACGACAAAATTTGCTTAGTTTTAATAAAGCTCATTGAACATGCTTGTAGAATGTAATCTGCACGTACAAATATCCAGGAAGAAATTTCTAAAGATTTGTGGCAACATGAGTTTGGATAGTGCCAACGCAGACTTAAGAAACTTCACAACTATGTTGCCTCCTTACTGAGAAATGGTCATTGTCCAAAGGAAATATATATTCATAAGGCAGAGAGGAAGAGGAAGGGGGACAGAAAGGTAGAAAAGGAATAGGAAGTAAAGAGGAAAAGTGAAGTTATAAAATGCAAGAATTATTTTCAGACTGCAGATTAATGAAATGCAGAATAGTTCTGCATATCATCTTAATGTTAGACATGTATACACTTTTCTCTACATTGTTAAAACAGACTTTAATGGAACAGTTAAGTCGCTTATTTATTATGATTGTATTTCTCTTTTCTTCCTTCATGACTTTGATTAATTCTTATTCACATATTCACAAGTTCTGAATTTTTATTTCTGATACAAAACTGATTTCATAACATATTATAGCATAACACGAGACATTCAATAAGAGTAATGTAGGCCTCTGTGAAGAAAATGGATGCTTCCTGCTGTATAATTACTTTCCCTATTATTTCTTTGTGCACGCTGACTTGTATGAAGCAAATTATTTCACATGTGGGTATTTTAGGAGAAAGTCTATGAAGAGATGGTGCAGATATTTGACGGATCTAATCGATCCCCCACAAAACAAGACCTTCTGGAAATGAAGTACTTGGAGAGGGTCATTAAGGAAACCCTCAGACTGTACCCCAGTGGACCAACTGTTGGAAGGAAGACCAGAAAAGACATACAGATAGGCGAGTATAAGATGCCTAGTTCTTTACCTCACATGATGCATTATTCTTAAGTTTTTAATAAATCCCTGGAGAAGAAGTAAATAATAATTATTTTAGTGCTTAAAACAGGCACGTCTGACATTGAATTAGACTCTCATGTTGTCAGAATAGGTTCTTACGAGACTTGTTTCTTTTTTTAAACTGATAAAAGAAAAAAATAATGACAATGATTAGGCCCATTTTTCTCTGTGGCTGGCTAAGCATTAAATAAGATTCGAAGACAACATAAGGACAAAACCTAGAAAAACTTAACCTAGAGTATTTCTATTAGAGCATTCAAAAAGCAAAGGCAAAAGAACATGTGGAAATTATGTGTACTTAAAGTCTCGTTTAGGTGTAAGTGTAAACTTCAAAAGAGTTACAATGAAATTTGTGCCCACTGTTAGTGACCTGTCACTCATGCAACTGATATGTTATTGTGGTTACAGAATACATTAATAAACTTTTTTTTAAATTCTTTATAGGCTAACTTATTTAACAACATAGTTTATATTATGTTTTGCTTTGATGCAAATACCACCTGTAAAATAAAACAAAATAAGTTGCCCTGTAACATCAGCAGGTGAAATAAGACATATGTTTTATACTCTATCAATATTTTACAGGAGAATACACAATACCAGCAGGGGCTAGCATTTGGATCGAGATATATTTTATCCACCGCAACCCTAAATACTATCCACATCCAGAGGAATTCAATCCCGATAACTTCCTGCCAGAGAGAGTACGTGACCGACATCCTTACGCATACCTTCCTTTCAGCGCTGGACCAAGAAACTGCTTGGGTACGTTACATAGATATCTGCCAGTTTTAGGATATTATCTATCGAGCTTAAAATGTAAAATTGTACAAATAATCTTATTATTTTTGTGGGGCCTGCTGAGGTTTGGATAAGTAAGTTTTAGACCTAGTTAAATTAGAATACTTAACTCTAGAGCTACGCATATGAAATGTTGGAAGCTTACGTGCAAGGTCTGTATTTAACATTTTTATGTATTAGCAGTTAATAAATGTGGATACATATTGAATATTGGGAGATTTAATCAAATTGAATCATTACAGTGTGTATTTTTTAAAGTCTGTACTAGCCTTGCCATGCAGACTGAAGTACTTGAAGGAAAATGAGGCATCATACTTTCTTCACAGAACTTCTTCTAAGGACCTATTTATTTTTCTCAAAATAAGCAAGTGTAATAAGTGTTGTATTGATGGAAAGTGAGAGTCATTACTCTTTATATGCTCGTTTGCTAACATGTGTTCATTGAGTACAGAATTGATTGTGTCTGTCCATGTTACACCATGTTTCAGGCTGCATATCCTGTCAGTTGATCACCCCAATGGCATTTGATTGGGAATTATTTTGGTCTAAATTTGTTGAACTGTGTACATTTTTCTTTAAAGGTCAGAGATATGCCATTATGGAATTGAAGGCAGTGCTGTCTTCTATTGTACGTAATTTCAAAATCAGAAGTCTTAAGGAGACAAAAGACTTAAATCCGTTGATGGGATTGACCATAACACCACATGGAGGTGTTAATATTGAGCTTACATTGAGGGATAACAACAAGGAAAATAAGTTCACTGAAAACTAAAACTTAAATTTTTGGAAATGTATGTGAAGCTGCAAAGGAAAATAAACTAAACATATTTTACTTCACTTTGTAAGCCATGGTTAATGTACTTACATAAAAATGGCCTATGTATATTTGTATATGGGTCTTTATGTGTATCATTGTGGTCATTGTATGAAGTGTCTGTGCTGCATTCAACTCTTGTGCCTTACATTATGTAACTTCTATGAACAAAAACAAAATATGTAAAGTGTCTGGGAAATCTGAAAATGAATTATTGCCCATTGCATAATTCCTGGGTCTTCTTGTATCTAAACAGCAGCAACCACAGTGATAGAAGAGTCAGTTAAATTCTGTTTGGAATAAGTAAAGTTGTACACTGTAGACCCTGGCAGACATTTTGAATAAAAATAAGATGTCATAAAATATAAAATTAATACTAGAATTTGTTTTTCCTTAAACACCTTGAAACCTTTATGGCTCTGCAATAGTTTAAAACAGAACCAATTTTATTTGTTGACGTAAATACGTCTATATGGAAGGGTCAGTGTCATTCCGCGAAGAAGCGACAGAAAAATGTGTAAATATGGACCGACAACAATGGTCAGCTTGCGTGCTGTTTACTCTAATTGTTACGTCATCTGTTTATTCCGCATTGTTTTATCACTTTACTGCCGCTGTGAATCGCTTGTAGAAGAAGTGCGTCGTGGACTAGGTAATTTTGTACTGGTAAAAACGTTTAACAATATCACAAGTACTTACCTTATATAAGAATTATTAAGTAATCTGTTGTTGGGTTAGTTAGTTGCGTCATACTAAGTACAAGATGGATGACATTGAAGCTTTGTCACATTTATGGAGGACACGTTTGGCTTAATGTTGATGTCAAATCCTCAATGTAGTACTACTAGATCAAAATGTTGTGTTTTGTGTTTGCACGATATGTTGATACTCTAAAATGTACAAATTTTATAATATATTTCAGCTACCACAGACCCAGCTTAAGCGTAACTAATTCAAGGTAGGCAGTACTGTCATACTTAAAGCGTGTATAAATATTTAGAATAAAGCCACTATATAAACTCCTTAAAATATAGCCGTATTTACATCAAATTCTCCGGAACCGTGGTTCCACTGTAACTTTTTAATTTTTTACTCAAAATTCACTCCTGTCCTCCATGTATGATAGAGTGGTTATGAAACATCCTCCATGTATGTGTATGAGTGTATATATAGAATATGCATAGCTGTGCAAATAATGTTTGTATGCATACATGAAAGTCTTTCTGGTATGGTTGGAAGAATAATTAACTCAGTTAACGTCTCTGTTCTGGTTTCCCAAGCACCCTGCTTGTAACGCTACTTTTCACCTTTGCGGAATATTAACAGGAGTTCTTCAATGTATAAAATATCAATAAGTTTGATAGTAATCTGTGACAGTGAAGTCGGTTAAGGCGTCACAATTTGACATCATACGCTTTCAATGATTACATTGATGTTTACGTAGGTTTTTGTTATCTTTGATCTGAACACACCCGAACGAAAGCGATGTAAATAACGATGTTCGCGAATTGTAAACATGGCCTACTATTAAGTTTAAAAAAAGAACATATACAAAGTTGTTAACGCTTGTAATTTGTGTATGTTAAAACATATTCATACATTGAAAAGGGTAAGTGGTTTCTGTTTCGTGTTATTTTCTGTGTATTTAATACTGAGGTATCGTCATACAGTGAAGAAGTTGAGCAACCGTTTTTATTTAGTTATTATAATTTTATACTCTTAGGTTACGTGTTTCTTCTAAGATTGGTGTATGAAATGAGTACATCATTGTTAGTTTAAGTTTTGTAATTATATGTATGATAAATTAGGTCAAGATAAAGCCATTGTGATAAGTGCAGTGTTGCCATTCGTGTAGTGAATACCGAGGTACGAAAATAAATCTCATAATTACCTAAACTTGTATCGAAATTAATACAAGATAAGAATAAAAGTAGGTGGTACATGAAATATGTTAACAAATTTATGTAAGATTACAAAATGTTGACCATTTTCCTGGAGTAAGTTGGATTTGTTCATTTGTCTATTAACCGGAAAAAAAGTTCAATTCAATGTCGGTATTTGAGCATTTGCAGAGTGCAACTGTTATGTTGGAGGCAGTAACTATGTGATCGTGTACTTCGCACATCTGCATGATACCGTATGTCAACATATTTGTCTTTAAATTTGTGGTGTTATACTTATTAGATGCAACAAATACACATCTAAGCAAATTAAACCAACCTCAGCATATCGTAATTTATCACTGCATTTGGATGTGATGGAAAAATATAAAAATGTGTTTGAGTATGAGTCTATTCTATTTTTGCAAGTACAGTTACAGGTATCTGTTGATAAACAGTGTAACTTCTTTAAAACTGTGTAGAGAAACTGATTACAAAATGTAAAGATATACCAAAACTTTCATTGAACAAGTACTTTAAGTCATCAATCTTATTTTAGGTTATATTAATTGGTTTTGATAAGTGTCAGCATATTAATTTGAACTATTTGATTATTTTTATAAAACCTTAATGGGAAAATGAGATGAGTTTTTGTCTCTTAGAAAGATAACTTATCTTCTTGTTTTATATTATACAAAAATATTGACTAAATAAATCAGTTAACACCCGCAAGTAATGTAAATGATGCACTTTTTATAGTATCTTACTACTGTGTTCCCATCCTAATAAAATAAGATGCTTCACACAGTAAGTGTCTTGCTTTAAGTTGTCTGTTTTTGTTGTTTTAGCATCTTTGAAAGTTTTTCAAAATGAGGAGTGATCATGTAAACAGTAGGATCTTGTTGAAGATTGAAGAACTTGTAAAACCATTGAACAAGTTGCCAAAAGCCTGGAATGATCATCTAGCAAAGGTAAAGTATTTGCTTATGACATGAGATTTAAATTATGTACCATACAACTGTAATGTTTCTTATGTTCTGTCAGTTCTTGGTGTATATTTATGAGGCACAGTCAATAAAGGGCTTCATGCTAATGTATACATGCTGGTGCTTAGTACTATTTTGTTTATTTGTGGTTTATTTAACAGTGCTGCCAGTAGCTCATTATAGCATCAAATAGTAGGATGATTATGAATGATGAATTGGAAAGGATATGGAAGGAAGTGACTGTTGCGTTATTTAAGGTTCTGTTCTGACATTTATTTGGTGAAATGAGGAAAATGATGAAAATCCTGAATCAAGATAGCAGGTCTGCAGACTGAGATTTGAACTCAGGGCTGTTGGAATACAACGCAGAAGTGCTAACCTCTTAGTTACAACAGCTAGTGGATCTTAATACTGAAACCTTTTCCAAGTGAAGAATTTGTAAGGCATGAAGAAGCACTGTATTTTAATGTTTGGGAATAAATGTAATAAATCAAAATATATTTTATGATTAAATTAAGAAAAGATTAAATCCAAAGAGTGCTTGCTGTGATTCATTTCAGAATTACTTGTCTTGCGCTCTCCTGTCTAAGAATATAAAGATTATAATACACAACGCTGTAATTTTACCTATTATTTTACATGGTATGAAACATATCTCATCTCATGGGAGTAGTGTGGATTGAGGGTGTTTTAAAACAAAGCATTGGGTTAATATTTTGACCAAAGTGACAGGAAGTAATGTAAGGCTCGGGAAAATTGCATGAGAAACTTCACAATCTTTACTTTATGCCAAATATTATTAGGGTGATAATGTCAAGGAAGATGATTTGTGTTGGGAATGTAGCATGTATGGGGATGTTATAAAATCTGAACTAATGAACTTGAATGGAAGAGAGCAATTGGCATAACTAGGCATGAATGGGAGGGCAATATTAAAAGAAATGGGTTTTGACTGATCTATAAGATGTAGTAATAGGCTCTTCTGAACCCAGTAATGATCTTTTGGGTTGATAGAAGAGAAGTTCCTTGCTAGATGAGCAGCTATTAGCATCTCTAAAGAACTCTTTTCCAGGGACTTAATTTAGTTAGAACTCGTTCTTAGGTTTTCATGTATCTAAGGTACAAGCCACATAGTGTTGAAGGGTTTAAAAATTTCACCAAACATAATTGCCATCTTCATGGTGAATGATGTCCTGTAGGTTGTAAACTGTACCTTGTCTCCCATTGCGACATTTATATAAGCATTTCATAACAAAACTCACACACCCCCGAACGACAGTTCATCCTGATTATGACGACTGCAATGTTTGCTGAAATGGAAAACTTTGAACATTACTCGTGGCTCATCCCTGAAAGCCAAAGTTTTACAATTTAGTTGGTTATCAACCTAATCATTTTAAGCCAATATCCAGTTGTATATCATATCATCACTTCTGCAATTCCCTGGGTTTCATCTATAAAACTTTTAATTTAGAACTATTTCACTTCACTTAGCCGATTCTCTTCTACCTGCAGGTGTCGAGGCTAGAACAACGTGCTGCCTTTTTATTCCCTCTCATAGGTATTATAATCAAAGTCCAAACTTTACAACAATTAGGATGGTGTTTTTCTGGGTTGTTGCACCATGGGAAGGTGCAAACTAGGTTAAGGTAGCCCAGGTCGGAGACCAGTAATGGAAATTTGTTATCACTATATCAAAATTTTGGTCCCATAAAATCAGGGAGGTGTTGATTAGCTGAATTCTTATGGAAGACTGTGCCATGGAGTGGGGTGGCCAATTAACTAGTTGCTTTAATTAGGTAATATCTGCTAGCTAATTTAATAATGTAATTTATTAAATTAAAGGAAAATGGTGTTCAGTCCAGGTTGGTTGCATTGAGGGGTGAGGTATTAATAAGATCAGTGTCTTCTGGAATGTAGCACTGTGTAGTATGGTGGATGTTGTCAGACTTTTATAGCAGCTTACTGCATTTATCATCAGGGTCTTGATTGAAGCACTAAGCACCTCTAAAATGGACAATATCTACCAGACTACACAAAGCTACATCCCAGAAGACACTGATCTTCATTCTTGTTGCTGCAAGAACCAAAAATGTCATCAAGTACTTATAACTTAAACAGGTTAGTGGTATAGGGATGTCAAAATATGGTGCACATTTACAGGTCATTTGTTCTGTGTTATACTTTTATGTGTCTACTGGTCTGTTTCAGCACCTGGATGAGTACATGGAGTGTATTGAGCAGCTGTCAAGAGATGAAAGTCTTGGTCTGACTGCCATTAATTTTGTTCAAGCAGGCCTTATGGTTGAGAACACCACCAAGGTATATGCTTTAAATGTGGACTATTTGTGGCAGTTCATGACACAAGTATTGGAGGTTTTAAGAATGAACAAGTAAGTGGAAGACAGTGTTACTGGTTATTTAATAGTAAGTAACACTACATTAAATGTAAGTGGGTTAGCACGTTACGAAATTTTAAACAAGAAAATAGTATACTCGTAAATCTGTGTTGTTATTACATCTTGGAGTATCGCTTTTTCAGATTTTAACTGAGGGAATAAATTCACTATTGATGCAGTGAACTTTCTATACAAAGTAAGATGTAAAAGACAGGTCAAAATTAGGAATTTAGAACTGCCACTGGGGTAGAAGGCACGAGAACAATACGGAAGAGTTATGTAAATAGTATTAGGGATTAAGGAATAGTCATGTAGAGTAGCATTAGTGAATAGTTGTAGTAAGCAGTAGTGCTAATAGTGCTTGTAAGGACTGTGGCCGTGAAAACCTGGTGTTAGGCGGCCACAGATCTCTGTATATAGTCTAAACCAAATATATTATATTATATTATATTAAGAGAACTAAGAATATCAGTGAAAGTCCACAGTAAAGATAGCCAGTTCTAAGATGTCATCACCATCACTTATGCAAGATGAATGTGTTCTTATTAATATTATTTCTTTAGTAGTTCAAATAACAATAATAAAAGGAGATCAGAAGCTTCTGTGGAAACACCAGAGAGTTCTGAAAAATATTCTAGAAGGAAGAAACGAGCTGTTTGTGAAGACTTTGAAGAGATTATTCCTAATGTCATTGGTAAGTCAGCATATTTGTGTTATGTCATAGCGTTATATTTATCATTTACTTACAGTTTATTTAATGATGCTTTTTCTGCAGCTGAGACTAGAGTGTTGAATGAGTTGCTGATAGTGAATAATGATTGGAAAGGATGTAGGAAGTGATTGTAGCCTAATTTAAGGTAATATCCTGGAAAACCATGAAAGGATTCTATTCTTTTATCTGTATGGCTCTGATTCTTATGAAGCCCAAGTTGAGGGTGGGATGAACATTCTGTAAACAGGTTTTGTATCTTGTGAACAGATCCTGATATGAAAACAGAAGAAAGAAATGAACCCATTAAACCACTGCCTCTCCAGCGACACATTATTGCGAAAACAGACTGGAAGAGGCAGAAACACAGTTATCATATTTATGATGTGGAGGGAGACACAGTAGTATCAACAGATTATAGGTATGTAGAACTGATGGTGAGCTATTCAAGTTCTGTTGCTCTGCATGAGCAATCTGAAGTTTGAATTATGACTTATTTGCAATTACAAATTTGACCATTTAACTTCATGATCTGGTCCTTTTTGAGAGATTGATAATGTTTTATTTCATTGAGAAATTACCTGTTTCAGGACTTTTGTTCACAAAGTTTTCTATAGTGCTATATTTTACCCATTGCCGTTTGTGCCTCTAAAATCTGTTTCTTTAAAACATATTTTATTTTTATATTCTTATGTGTATGTCTAAATCTTGCGGTTGGTCTCTTTCGTTTACGTTCACCAGGCAAGCATGTGCGTGCATTTCTTCCTTTCCCGATATGGGGGATACAGAAAATGTGCTGAGTTTTGATCACATAACGAAAAGGAAAATTACCGCTTACGAGACCAAGGTGCCCGATATGGGGGATACAGAAAATGTGCAGAGTTTTGATCACATAACGCAAAGGAAAATTACCACTTACGAGACCAAGGTGTCTATTGGAGGGCAATATTAAAATGGGTTTTAAATGAATAGAGTGTGAATTGGATTTATCTGGTTCAAGAAAATGTTCAGTGGAAACACAGTAATGGACCTTATGGTTCCATAAAAGGTGGAAAATTTCATGTCTAACCGATTGACTATCATCTTCTCAAAAGTACTGTGTCCCATGGAGTTGGTTTAATTTCACCCATCTTATCCTTCATTAATAGCATTGGAATATTAGGTGATGGTCATAGTTATGAAGGTTCTCATTTTGTCATTTTGTTATTACTTCCTTTCAAACATTTTTTTGAAATTAAAGTTGTCTGCCATGTTAAATTCAAACAAATATGTTGGATATGTATATCATTTTCAGTGTGATGTTGCAAACTTCAAGACAGGGGAAGTTACAGTTAAATATGCTGAAGGAAATCACCAGAGAATGCAGTGAGGGTAAGTTAGTTTACCACCTATATTTAACATTCTTTTTTGTTTTCAACTCTTAACACAATCAGGAAGTTTTAGTATGTTGCCCCTTTTGACTCTGCAAAACAAAATTGAGCCCAGTATTTTCAATCACATTTTAACCTTTTATCAGTAGCCAGCTGGACTGCATATGTCATGACATATGGCTTATAAAGGTTAATTAAATAATTAGCTTTGGGTTCAGAACTTTATTTTCAGGCTTTGGGCCAGAAGAGCACATTCTGCAAGTATGGAATTTATATAAAATTGTAAATTATGATCCATTAGGAGGATTTTTGCTGAGGATCAAGTGCTTTGAAGCACTTGAATAAGTTTCAGAGGAGCTGTGGCTTTTCATGCTATGAGCTAAGTGGAATTCTGTGGTCTGTTCAGAACTGAATGTTTAAAATAAAACTTAATTCTTTTTTCATACATTTATATTCATAACATTTCCTTTAGTTTTTCTGTTGAGTGACTTTGTTACAGAAGAACACATTCGGCCGGAGAATTTTGGTGAACTGATTCATGTCTTGGAGTTGCTGGTACAGGAGCTTAGCCAAAGTGATGCAGGTTGTAGTACAAATGAAGATGAAGATAATGATTTAGCTGAGGAGACAGAGTTGACACCTGATGGGATCTTCAATCTACCCTCACTAGAAGCCCCAACTGAACATGATTCTGTTGAACCACCAGAACATCCAACACTCTCATCTTTGCCAGTAACTCCACCCCCTTCTCCAGAACCAATAAAGAGATCAGCATCTGACTTAGAGACACCCGAAGGAATCAAAAGATCAATATCAGATGCTGAGTCAGAGAAAGAAGTGTGTGCTGCTGGGCTGTCTGCAAGAAGGTAATGTTGCATTTTATATCTTTTGATATTTGAAAGTGATATGATGGCTTGCATGCGTATGTGGTTGTGTTATGTTTGTTGTGGGGGGGCTCCTAAATAGCTTTTAAAGGAACTGAGCAGAATTTATAAAAAAATTTAAGAGGATCGTGAAATCCTGCTATTATTTCTCTTAGCACCTCTTGTTAGCATAACTTTGTGAACAGTCTTGCTGGTAGGCCACCTTACAGGTATGTTTTAATGCACCATCCTTATGTTCATGTAACTTTGTTTTTTCTAACCCCCAGACTCATGGTCAGAACTTCACATAGTCTGGCTGTAGTTTTTAGTATTATTGTTACAATTATTACTTTTTGCAACTTTTCCTGTCATGTTAATCTACACGTACAGGTGAATATTACACTGTGTTGTAGCACAGTTATTTTAACTTAAATAGTGAGTAAGTGAAAATAGCTGATGTGCCTTGAAACACGTGAACTAACTTTACATTAACACTGCTTAGAGTTGTTTGCCACTGGGATGTTGGCATTTATAGCAGGCAGTTAAGAAGGTGCCATGATGGGGTGTCCTCCAGTGATGTTTTATTTATACAAAGTTTCAGGGAAATCAGGTATACATCACCATTGCCTTTTATATTTGATATGCACATGCTGTTGGTATTTGTCTCTATTTCTATATTCAGGTGATTGTATTCATTGTATTGTCGTTTTTTTATTTTTGTTTCTGGTATTTGTGAGAACAGGCAGTTGTTAGATCAAGAAGTCTTGGAATACTAAACTTCTCTGCTAATCGCCAGGCCATCAAGACATCATGTATTCCTTAGACAGCAGACAGTGGTTAATAGAAAATGAACGGTGTGTTGTAATATCTGTCATTTTTATAAAATTCAGACTGAACATTGTGGTCAAGTGGTTAGCACTCCCGCCTTGTATTTAGGAGGTCTCAGTTTACTGTCGTCCTCTGAATCAATGCTGTTTAGTCAGAGACACTGTGTCATTAAATAAACTATAAATAAATTGTCATAAACCTTAGAGAGGTATTCTTACATGTGTAATATGTGATGATCTCTGGGAATGTTTTAGACAAGGTAAGAGGGAACATCTTGTGACAGTCCCGTGTGACCCATGGGAGCCTGAACGGGGTACACGAGAGAGGCCACTGAAGAGGAAACAGGCTTTCAAGCTGCCCTGTGACATCAGGTTGCTCAAACCAGACGAGGTAAGAATCAGCTGATAGGAAATACTTCCTCGCATTGTCCAATGAAGCAGTGCACTGTAGTCACTGAACACTGATTCTTTGCAGAAGAAACGTAAGTCTGGACATGAAGAGAAAGTGAAATTGATGGTGGAGTACAATGGAACTAAAATGCTGTGCACGTATGTGATCCATTCGTGTTTTCCATTATATCCAGACTTCAAGCAGTTTTGTCTTCAGGAAATAAAACAAAAGACTTTGCTCTTACAGAATCAACCAAAACTCTATAGTGTCAGAGGTGAGTTAGTAACCCATCAAATCAGAGTTCTGTGTAGCACATTAGTTCAGTCTGTCTGTTTGCGGGCTCATTAGCATATTAGTTTGTGGTGACAGAAGTTACACTGTTCTGCCTTTTCCAGAAACAAATTGGTGGTGCCATCATAAAGATCAAACTGGTTGGAACAACTGTTTTGTGTCTAACTTGTATTTCAGAGATACTTAGTTAAAATCTTGGTTAAAGCATCAATTATCTCAACTGAGAAATTTGTGGAGGAAAAGTTGCCTTATTTTTAGTAGTGAGATTTCAAGACTGTTTCAGTTTCATATATCTGTAATCCCTCTTCCTGCAGTTGAGTTTGTTAATGTCTGTTCACCCATTCTTTGACCATCATATGCTTTATGCCTTTTAATTTTTAATCCAAATAATAAGTAAGCCCTTCTGTCATCTTCAGTTTCTTCATATTGTTCTGATTTACATTACTGCAGCCTGTTCTCTAATTACCTCATTCTGATTCAAGTAACTAGTGATTATTATTCTGTGTAATTGTTCTTTAACGTTAGCATATATTTTATCCAGTTTAGCTTGTGTTATTAAAATCAGTATATTTTTCTTTCATTAGCTCTGGAAGAGCTTCATCATCATCTGTCAAAGGAGTGTGATGAAGGTATGGTCAGTTTTGTTTCTTGAATAGTTCAACATTCCTCTTTCTGGTTATTTGTTTTAACACTTTCCCTGTCAGTTAACCAGTTTAGCTGATGAGGCATGTTCATATCTCTTCTCATCTGAATAAGTTTATACTTAACGTAACTTTTCTTAACACATATGTAAATACACAGTGTAGCTGGCATTTAATATCATGCACATCAATTATTCACATTTTCAAAATAAAATTGATGTCTCAGGAACTATTGCACTAAAATGATTGAAATGAAAGTATTTGATTTTGATCCTTATTGTCTGGTAATAGGGGCACAGTAATTTCTGTTGTTGTTTAATGTTTCAGATTTTTTTGGTTTTGAAGATTATGAGCCTGAATTTGGGGAAGAAGAAGGTAATAAATAATATACTAAAGTTGTCATACATTGACTCTTGCTCATACAGAGTACAAAAAAGATATAAGATGCAAGTCAAGTAAGGCAGGGGGAGGAGAACTGTAATTGTTAGAAAGGTTTTGTATAGTAGATAATAGAAGTAGGTGTATAAGAGGCATGGACCTGCAGAAACTCCTATGTTAAGTGGATGCTATCTTTTGTTTAGGAAATCGGGACTTAGTAAATATTATTACTGTTATTACTCTTACATTGTCCGTAACCACTAACAAGAATATGTCGTGTCTCAGCTCAGAAGACCATTTGACTCGAGGCATATTTTTTGCTCAGGTACAGAAATAATTGTTATTTTTTGGTGTGTATCCAAAAGTTTTTGTGTCTGTCATAAACACTTCCACCATATACAAATTTCTGAAGATTGCAGTTGTGTGTTTTCTGTGAATGTAGGGCTCTCAGTTGTGCGTTGTGATAGAAATATGCTGCCATTGTTCAAGAATTGTTATTCAAGACTGAAAGTTGTGACCACTTGAAATATCAATTTAATTTGAGATTTTATAGCAGTAAATAATAAATTTTTATAACTAGACATGTTGATTGATGTGTTGAGTAATTATGGACATTTGCACGTGTTTCATATGGAACTCTCCATGGGCCAGGTGTCATGCAGTCTGATTAACAAATGATTTGCTAATAAAATGTGATTATGTCTTGTTTTTATCTTAGGGTTTCGTGGTTTTCCTGAGGAAGAAGAACCAGAAGACGATGAGAATAATGAAAATTATGCCACAGATCCAGACAGCACTGCCACCCAATTCTTGGTGAACGAGTCTCATGAGAATGCAGCACATCCTCCTTCTAGTAAAGACATTCTGTTTGAAAATAATGTGTTTGGTCAGACAGACAGCAGTGAAGATATCAACCTTGTGAGTAGTTCTGAGCAAGTAGTATTTTTGTTACTTGGTACAGATTGTAATTATTTCTGGTGGTACTTTATTGTGGTAGCTTTATTTGATTTCAGCTGCTAATCCAGGTTGTTGTTGGGGGGTCCCCCCCCCTCCACATCTTCTGGATGCCAGTATAAGGCTTTCCGGTCAGATTCTCAGATAACATCTTGCAATAGGCTATAGCCACTTTTTTCCTACCTTCATGATTCATAATAATCATGCCATTTGATGCTGTATAATACATGTAGTTGATGGAACAATATGAAATAGACAGAGCACTATACTGAAGATCGATGAAGAGGGCAAACAGTTTGTATGTGTATATTGTGATTTTCATGGATCACTTAATTTTACCATCATGGCACTTCATTGTTAATTTCACCATTTTTAGATATCTGTCTAATTTTGAGATATTTATCTCTAAATCATATTTTATTATGTTATAGTTTCAGGAGCAGATGGAAGCAGACATTGCCAGACGGGTGGCTGAGTGGGAAAAGTATATTCGCCCCAAGTTGAAAGTTGCGCATGACAGAGGTCACTTTGACATCCATAGTGTCGGAACAGAAATACTGAGTTCATTTCCACAAAGTTCTGCAAAAGTTACATTGCGGTTTGAACAATTTGCAGCAGACAAACCAAGAGAAGACATCCCACGTTATTTCTTAGCAGCTCTCCAGCTTGTGAGTATGCAGCAGATATGGGCTTTATTAAGAATACTCAGCTGTATAGTGCAGACAGTTTCCAAAATTGTCTATTTCTAATTAACCCTTGTAACAGACCTGTCTTGTGTTACAGGCTATACAGAAATTATGAAGCTGTTGTGTAAAAATTGAATAATACAGCAGGGACATCTGTGCCCTAGAAAACAGGCAGAGAGTGTTCATAGTGAAAGATTTTTCATGATTGCGCCACCTCTTAATGTATTTGTCTTAAATGCTATTGAAATCAATCCTGTAGGCATAAACCATCATAACAAAACCTGACTGTGGCTCAAGTCACTCTACTAACAGTAAAGAGTTTAAGCAATCCAAGGTACTTATATAAAATTAATATTTTAATGCTAAATATTAACCTGTGTCTTTCCTTCAGATGATTGTTGCTGTCAAGTGACGGCATTCATCCTTTGTAGGTCCTGATTTTAGATCTTGGCTTAGAGACCAGCTGTCCTGGCTGATGTTTTTTTTATGTTTTTTCCCAGTCTGTCCAGTTTGAGATTCTGACAGCACCAATAAATAAATCATAATTCAAAATAAAATGATCTTTGCTTCAAAACTGTTGGTAAAGGAACTTGGCTGAAATTAGGTGTGTGGTCTTTCTCAAGCTACCAGTTTGATGTAGCAGTTGAGTTGTCTGAATACAAAAGCTTGAACTCATAACACTGCTTTTATTTGTCCAGGCAAACACATCTAACATTGAAATCTCACAATCAACACCTGGACACCTGTCCATGGACTGCATGGAAATGACATTACTTTCACCTGTAAGACACCATGAGGCCCTTGAAGATTATAAAGCCCCATCACAGGGGTGAGTATATCTCCTTTAAGTTAGATCATGACAGATTAAAATATTTTCATTACAAAATATATTCTTGGCGTCTGTGCAAAGTAGAAACATGCATATGCTGAACATTAAGGGGTATTCTTTTTTATGTTCATTATCATTATCCTTGTTCTTCCCATTATCAGGTTTAATTAACCTGTTTGTGTTATAAAAATGAGAATCTTCCTTTAAGCAACAGGTTCATTGAAAACAGCGGATAGATAACATATGTTTATTTCTGAGATATTCTGCCACCTGAATGTGGACTGACATAATTCAAACTCTGTACAGAGGATGGGAGTCACTCGTAAATTAATTTAGGAAATATAAAGGGAAGAGGTAAGGGTAAAGTTGTCATCGTTATTTTTTTAATGCCATGCCGTGAC